AATCTAGAACAAAATAATTTGTCATTAACGTCTTCAGTTGAATTTGATGTTGTTGTAGCGCACGTTTAACAAGTCTGGTTTGTTCTCTAAGTGTGGAGGTTAAATTTTGTATCCAGTATTGTTGTTCTGAGTAACAATTGATTTCTGTTTATCAGAAGATGAGCCATGTCCTCTTTTATCGTCATCAGAGATCAATATATGATGTTCCGGAAACACTGCGGTTAGCTCTTTAATGAGGGAAGCTGATTGGTCTGTTTTCAAAACATTTTTATAAGAGTTTATGTTACGTTGCCTACTTATTAGTCGTTTCCGAAACTCTTTTCCTATACACTTGTTAACCGGAAGTTCGGTTTAGAGTGCACTAAGTATCAAAATAAAGCACTTTACTACATTATTTTGATATTATGAAAAAAAAAAACAACATATCTTCCTGTCAGGATTGCCAAAAAAGGTAAAAGAAAGTTTAAGAAATCAAATAATTTTAAACTGGTTGTTTTTAAAATCCTCTAACAGGTGGATATAGTAAATTGGACAAATGTACCTGAAAAAAATACTTTTCAGCTTATAAAGTCACCTAGGTCACACATTTCACCTTTTCATACCTTCCCTGTCTTTCGTCATGTTCAAGGCAATGTTCTTTCTTAATCTTCGACTTTTTTTTAAAATCAATTCAACATTTTCAACCAATAATGTTATATTTCATCTGTGAGTAAACTTTTGAATTTTTTAGAAGGGAACGGTTTTAGTCATAATGATGTGTAATCAATAAAACCAGTTTCTCTACTCCTGGACACATAGCAGACAAACTGTTTGTATGAATGCATTGATCATCAGTCAGGCCAGTAGTTCAGCCCTATTGATGCTTACTCCTCCTAGGCAACTGATTCCCACCTCATGAATTTCCAGGGGTCCTTATTTGCCCTTTTACCGATTTTTATTGTTTGTAGGTTGTAGAGATCTATCCCCTTTTGTTAATTTCATTCATTATATATTGAAAATACATTATGCCTTCGAAAATCATCTTGTTTACTCGTTTTAAATAGCGAAAAAACAATTTTCATGATAAAGAGCAATGTGTCTTCTTCCAAAATTGAACTGTTCATGTAGACTAGTGGTAGGGCGTTCGCTGCGTGATCGGGAGGCCGGGTTCGATTCTCGTTCACGGCGCCGCATCAGACCTAAGATGTAACAAAGGTAGTAACTGTTCTGTCGTCAATAGAAGTGAAAGCTGTTTGCAATGATTACAAAAGACAAAATGCCCCTCATCCAAATTACGAAAACTCTTCTCGAGACCTTTGGATCTAGGGTTTGGACTTAAGGACGGAACTAAGTTGGTAATTGTTTAAAAAATACATTGTACTTTGAAACTTTTTTCTAGGAAAACTAGCGAGCAAATTTGCATTATTGGTATATGCATTGAGTGATATCATATACGAATTGCATTTGTAGATACTATGTTGAGGCCCTAGGGTTGGACAAAATATAAAAAATTTGAAATATCATCAATCTAAAACACACTTCTACTTATCATTTTGCAGAAAATTATCCTGAGATATTACCCCTTACTGTACACCTGGAGAATTTTGGGAGCTTAATATTAAGATAAATGTATAAAACCTTCTGTTTGGGGCCAATTTTTGTAAAAAAAGAAAAAGAAAAAAAAGGGAATATATTGAATTTATATACTAGTTATATTAGAAAAGGTATCAAGATCTCATGAATATTTTGATAATTTGGCAATACTAGGTATTTCCTTGACAACAAAATTCTAAACCCTCTGAAACGTTACAATCCTAAGAGAATTCAAAATATCTAATCCATTGAGTCCAGTATTCAGACTCCTTGATCATGTTTGTAAATTCACTGTATCTGAAAATTTCTCTTCTTGACATCTAGTAGAGATGTTCAAGTTTTTGTCATAATATAAATACACCATCCCTCATCATTCGTGGTAAAATTTATGTCAAACGGTAGAGGGGTTTGGAGAAATTATGGTCATTTATATGTGATCAAAGTATCTATTGAACAAACTTATCTTTTATTTCCAGTAATCCAATAATAATAATATAAGTATAATTGTACAAACTCTGAATGGTCGATAACTAGGGGATGGAGAATTAGACACCACTAATCCAGAGGGTTCTTAAACTTGAAGGTTCTGTAACAGCTAAGGAGGTTAATATGGTATCAGGTAATTATATCAACTTGTAATTCACTGAACTTTTCCTTCCAGTAATCCAAAAAGTAGAATTTTAAACAAATATACATGTATCTGAAATATCTGATACCACTGACTGAAAGATAATAAAACAAAAGAAACTCCAATTAATTCAGGTTGTGTAATTGAAGTATTATAGGTGAAAGTATGCATTTTGTTCTTTGGTTAAAAAAAAACTCAGGAACAAAAATGTCATCAACGTTCACTGTTCGCAAAATAAATACTTAGATAAATAAATAAAAATAAAAACTAGAAACTTTGCTTTTGAAAGCAATAGCATATGCTCCACCAAACAGACATTTTCTCCATTTCAATTCCTGTTTTGCCTTAATCTGTCTTTGTTTGGTTTGATTTAAGAAATTATCCTTTAATGTTAAAAAGAATTGGCTGTGCAGTTACTGAGAAAAATTATATTTCTATGTTCATGTTTCTTCTGTTTCTATGAAATTATTACAATGGAATTTTTATTGAGATTGTCCTAGCCATCAGCGAGAATAAAATTAGATAGAAAAAGAAAAAAATATGAACTTTGCAATTGAAATCGGTAGCACAATTATGTCATCCCGAACTGACCCCCAAAGGTGTCGTTTTGGATGATGTAAAGTATTACATTTGGCTGTGTATGTTTTTAGCGCCTTTGTCGAAAAACAACTTCCGCTAATTCAAATACAACGCTAAATGTCTTGCACATATACTCATAAATAATAACATTAAGACATCAACTAGATCAAATCTACGCCAAATAATAATTTTTCGCAAAATATTGTACATGCTAAACATAAAATATTTATAGTATGAAATCACAGTAGGCAACTACTATTAAATAAAGAAAAATTACACATTTTAAGAAATTACCCAATTTGTTTCCATGACAACAGCAGCAATTTTAGAAATTTTATACACTAGAAACTTGAGGAGACACTTACACTTCTATAATGTGCAGTTTGAAATTATACTTTTGGAGAAAAAACCCGTAATTAAAAAAAAAAATCCCTCGCTTTTGTTTCCATGGCTAGTGTGAAAGAAATTGTCCTTCCTATTCTTTTTTGTTGTAGAAATCAAGAAATAATCCCTTAATGTTTAAGACGTTACTGTACAACAGAGGTGGTGTATATCAGATGTGGATGCTTAAAAACGCCAAGGAACTTTTATAAAGTTTGAAATCACAAAATATACCGTTATCAATAGCATCAAAACGTACGACTCTTTAACACTTTATACACGAAGCTGATTTTAAAAACTTGCATGATTTTCTGATTGACAATATCTATGTAGTTTTTAGAGATCAAGATTTCAAATCCAATGTGTACTAATTGCGCCCTGTAATTAGCAGGCCTGTTTTGTATTAATATGAAGCAGAATTTATTCAAAAACTTATAAATGAAAACAAGTCTTTTGCTATGGCCGTCAATTCAACATTAAGACACATCAACGACGTTTAGTAAGTCAGCAATATTCATTTTTATTCCTAAGTTGATTCGATATATCCTGTTAAACTCGAAATAAAAGATACCACATGTGTTTCAAATTTAGATATTTTACTAGAAAAGGACATTAATGGTAACCTAACAACAAAACATTATGACAAATATGAAGACTTCATCCTTTCTACCGTCAACTTCCCTTATTTATGTAGCAATATACCATTACCACCTGCATATGGAATTTATGTCTCCTAGTTGATTTGATATGCAGGAGCATATTCTATGTACGAACAATTTCTAAAACGAGGCAATTAAGCTATATGTTGACATATAATTTGATAAAACAAGATTATCAAAAGACTTGTTTAACGTCAACAGTATGCAAAATCTATGGTCGATATACTGACCCCGTCAGTAAATACAATATCTATCATTAAGTCGAATGTTGACTAACCTTTCTCATACAAATTGTTAGGCCATTATTTTCACACTGAATTGTTTACAGATTTTTCCGTTTAACCAATCATGACAAGAAGCACACGGCGTGTGTGACCGGTCGACAGGAAATGCTTACCCCTCCATGGCACCCGATCCCACCTCTGATTTAAGAGGTCCATGTTTGCTCTGCTCCAAATTTGTATTGTTTCAATGGACTTTGGAGCTAAATTATCGTTCCTTATCTTCATATTTTGTGCAAATATTGAAGGATTAATATTTTGTATCATTTCTCCATTGATAAAATTTTTATGGAAATTCCTTGATGTAATAAGCAAACTGAAACATTAAGAGTTTTAAGTGGTAACAAGTTAATCAAAGAGTGTCGGAAGAAAAAAAAGCCCGCATACATCAAAGTTCTATTTTAATTAGAAGGGGATGGTGTTTTTTCCTTGGCCCCAAAAGAAGAAAACGTGTTCACAGTTGATGGCAGTGTTAAACTTGTCTATTTCCAATTAATGATCGTAAAAAAGTGTTCCGTATCTGTACTTGATTTTCATATACATGTAATATATCTGAAAATAGCAATCCATATTGAAAAGCTTTCTAATTTAAAAATTATTGGACTTCCTGAATCCTCGTAGAAGCTGGTTTTGAAAAATGTGGACATGCAATAAAGATGAAGGAGCTTTAAGTATAAACAAGATCGCTGCAGAGAGGTCTGAAATAGATCTAAATCGATTGTACCCGCAAGGAACCTTTTAACATTCTGCTTTTAAGCTTTCTATTAATTTTAGTTTCTTTCCGGAAGCGCGGATGACACCCAATGCATCCGTTTGTACGTCGTATTTTTAAAGTGTAAGGAGACAATAAAAACACATACCTATTGAAAAGTCCCAGAAGACGTTGGATACAGCAAAAGAAAATGGCAGCAAAATTTTGTTACTCAGGAGATCTTACAAATCTGACAATTAAATTATCAAAAACTGTGTCACCAGCTGACTCTGCAGTCATGTTCACTTTGGGAGTATCAGGAAATATTTTGGCTTTAGTGTTGCTAATCCGACATGCAGACGAGCATAACTGGAGAATTTTCTACAGACTTGTCAGTGCACTAGCTTTCACAGACCTGTTTGGTATAATAACTTCCTCCCCAGTGGCCTTTGCTGTTTATAACAACAAGTTCATGTGGGTGGGTGGTCAACCAGTGTGTGATTATTTGTCCTTCATGCTCATATTTGCCAGTGTTGCCACCTTAACCATTGTGACTGCAATGTCACTGGACAGGTATCTAGCGTTATGGTACCCATATTTTTATAATTCATCACAAAAGAAAAGACGAGTCCATGTAATGCTTGTTGGAATTTGGATTTTTGCTGCACTGGTAGCCTGCTTGCCACTGATGAGATTTGGCCGTAATATACGCCATTTCCCATGCACTTGGTGTTTCTTTGATTATTATGGAACGTACAGAACGGACAAAGCGTTTTCGATATTATACACGTCACTGGGAATGCTTGCTGTTGTATTCTCTACTGGTTTTAATACTCTTGTTATTTTTGCAATCTCCAAGGGAGCTTACGGATCTCGTCGTGGGAGCATAAAGTGTACTAGAGGAAAAAAGCGCGAACGAAGGAACGAAATCTTTACTCTCATATTTTTGATCGCCATTTCAGTTATACATGCTGTTTGCTGGATGCCACTGATGGTAAGGCTCTATTTCTGTCAATTGATAAACGATATTTACTATTTTTGCTAGATTACAATGAAAGTCAGTTAATTTTGTGATTTTTTCAGATCCGTGTTCTAATAAATATATCAGGAGCATTTCCAAACTATAAAGCCGATCTTCTTGCATTAAGAATGGCATCATGGAATCAGATACTAGATCCATGGTTGTACATCTTACTTAGAAAAGAGATGCTAGTCAGAATTTACAGATTCTACCTGAAGAAAAGATATGGCGGCAATTTCTTGACTTCGAGCAACAGTACGGACAGTTCATCGGGGAGCAAGCGAGATAATCTACAACTACAATCACTGAGTCCTAAGCAGAGAAGACTACTAAAGAAAATGAATTCGACAGATTCCAATACTTCTAATGCAACAGAAATCAAATCCATCTCCACGCAATAAATCCTAAGCTGTAGAGATTCCTTATAGATATGAATTCAAATATCCAGGACCTTTGCTGCAACAGATTTAAAGTTAAGATTAACCAGCTGTTAGTTAGATGAAAAGAAACTTATTAATTTTGACAGCAGTGTGGAAGCATTTCGTTTGTCAAATGATAGAAAAGGGGCATGTTAGTTTAACTAGGGTTAAATTGTCCTTTGCACCGTAGATTTTGAGATTCGACAGGTTTTTAACAATCTTTAAAGGAAACTGTTGTTTACAGTTGTTTGAACATTATTTTGCTTATTTAATTACAAATATGCATTATTTTATCGAATGTTATTTCAGAGGGTTGCCCGGAAATAACAGTGGTAAAAAACCGGTATTTCCCGTCATGTGAAATACTAGAAAAAACCTATATAGTATCTACGTATTCAGAAAAGTAGTACATTCAGCAAAATGAATAATTCAATTTACCTGTGAAATCGAAACAGCCTGCATAGTGGTTATTCGGAAAAGAAGTCCTCCCCCCCCCCTTCGCCCCCCCGAAAAAAAAAACAAAAAAACCAACCAACCAAACAAACAAACAAAAAAAAAAAACCCCAAATCCAAACAAAAACACACAAAAAAAAACTCCAAACAAGCAAAACAAATACGCTAATTCAGAGAACGTGTGTTCCCCGCTTAAGGAGAAAAGAAGAGGATGGAAGAACTGGAAAAATATGCAGATGGAGAATGAAAAAAGTTCAACCTTGACCTTTTAGCTATTGGCCTTCACAGAAAAAATCAAAACCTTTCACTTAAAACTGAACTCATTTCCCTGGCTGTATATTAAAAACAAAAAAAAAGTTTTCCAATTCAAGTTTCAGTTGTGTAAATTAAGTTTATTAATTATGAATCAAAGAACAAAACAAACTTGCTTGAATACTTCTATAAACACTGTAGTTATTACAGTCAATCCCATTGTTTTAACAAATTGCTTTGGACAGTTTTGTGTTCCTGTTTTGAGATATAATTACCTAGAGCTGAAATGCCTCTTCCTAGGTTTGATATATACACCTTACTCTACAGTTAACAATTTTCTTAGATCCTTCTTTAGTTACATAAAAACCCCAGTTGGGATCTTTGGGTTAATTTCATAGTCCTTTAAAGAATACATTTGACTCAAGCATGAAACAAATGACACTCATGACTGGTATATGAATATACTGTATTACGATTTTATTAAATGAATTACTTGAAAACCAGAAATTTTTAAATCAGGGACAGTGGTAACACGTAGATATTTTAGCCAATAAGGTATACTGTACTAAATGTCTTAACCCCTCCAAATATGATTAAAATTATGAAAAATTTATTCTTTTTTTTATTTTGATGTAAATTGATGCGGAAATAATATGTAAAGGAACAATTGAAAACATATATGCTGTTTATCAGGAAACCATGAATCCGCTTTTTAAATGAAATTTGAAAATAGAACATTGTCTGTTATTCGCTTTCAGTGAAGTTTTGCATTCAGTAAACATTTCACTGAGGGTAGATGTCTACCTATGCAGAATATATCATATTTCTGCTCGGGAAGTAGAACAACCAGCAAAATAAATAATTCAATTTATCGGTAAAATCGAAACAATCAATATAGTATCTACGTGTTCAGAAAAGTAGTACATTCAGCAAAATGAATAATTCAATTTATCAGTGAAATCTAAACAGCCTGCATAGTGACAATTCAGAAAAGAAGTCCGCCCCCCCACCCCCCAAAAAAACTCCAACCCCCCCCCCCCCAAATCAAAACAAAAACACACAAAAAACTCCAAACAAACAAAACAAATAAGCTAATTCAGAGAACGTGTGTTCCCAGCTTAAGGAAAAAAGATTGATTGTATGTTCTACATCCCGTCCGAGAATTTTTCACTCATATACAGACGTCACCATATACGGTGAAGGACTTAAAATTTTGATCTTTACTCGGCACTCAGGGCCATTGAGCAGTGAAGGATCTTTATCGTGCCAACGCCTGCCGTGACATGGGGCCTCGGTTTTTAAGGTCTCATCCGAAGGACCCGCAACTTTCACTTCAAAGTGCCGAGCGCATGGCGAAGGAACAGTTGCTACCCATTTTTCATCGACTTAAGTCAGTCGCGGCCGAGATTCGAACTCACGACCTCCCGATCATGGAGCGAGGAGGATGGAAGAACTGGGAAAATATGCAGATGGAGAAAGAAAAAAGTTCAACCTTGACCTTTTAGCTATTGGCCTTCACAGGAAAAATCAAGACCTTTCAGTTAAAACTGAAAGGTGGCTTTCAGTGACTTTTCAGTGGCCATTCAGTCAATGAATGGCGGGTACATTTCAGTGACTTTTTCTATACCTTTCAGTCACCATTCATGGGACACATTTCAATTATCTTTCAGTGACCTTTACGTTCCCTTTCCGTCGCCTTTCAGTTACCTTTCAATGACCTTTCAGTCGTAATTCAACGACTTTTTCATCGGCTTTTCATTAAAGTTTATCTGTAATTCCTTAACAATTTAATAAAAATATTCACATCTATAATGAATGTGTTTCTTTTATTCTTGTTGTAATAAGAATATTCAAGTACACTAAACTGGTGATGGTAAGATGTTCAACTGTCTTTAAATTGTGTACTAAAATGTTAAATTGTCATCATAGACTTTAAAAACTATGTCTAAGTATAATTTTATTAATATTAAAAATTACAATTCAACTGTGTGGACTCATAAAATTCAAAATGATTTTTCGAATTTATTGCATAAAATCAATTTAGAAAAAGAGGATTATTTAAATGATAAAAGATAATAATCCAATATTCTTATAAGAATTTTATTAACTTTCATAGAATTGTCTCATTTTTTCTTTCGGTAAAATCTCTAAATCGGTGAAATATGTTTTCACAAGCTTACGTATTCATTTAATAAGTTTTTAAATGAATAATTAATCAATCAATTTGAAAAAAAAAATCGAGGATATCGGTCAAAATGTTCTGAATATATACAAGAAAAAAAGTTTTCTTCTTTTTATTAATTTTTTTCAGCTGTAATGTAGTTTTCATAATTCTTATGTCCATTTAATGCGGTTAGTTTTCATGGAAATATCTCGCAGTGAAAGAAGAGACAGAATTAATTATTTATGCTTCTTGTTAAAGAAACTTTATATTATAAATTTGGTTTCTTAATTGTTAAAATCGCATGATGTTTCAGTTTCTTTTAAATATATCGTCCTAAAATTATTTTACATAATATTTTAGATGAAAAATTTACAACGTTCTCCAAGGTAAAAATTTATTTTGAATTATTTTGAATTATTTCTTTAAGAAACAGATGCCCAACGCCGGTTATTGTCATCATTCCGATAAGAGATGTGTATTTGATTAGTTTGCCATCAAAGTCCGAGCAATTTACAGAGAATTATCAAAATGCATACAAGATATATACACATCTCCAAGCTTATCGATGTGAGTAGGTGTCCCAATTCGATTTCGACCAATTTATTGATTTAAATCGTATCATCTTTCATCAAGACGAAGTAATGGATAAGGTCCCAGATTACCATGCGGGAGGCCCCGGGTTTCTGCCAGCATTATTTCTTAGATTCACTTTTTTAAAATTCTTTTTTATTCGAAAATAGACTGATTTAATACCATTATAATAAGAGAAGGGGAAATAAAATCTCTTAGTTAAAAAATATGCCGATTATTTAATGAAAAGATACAACTAAAAGATAACAGAGGGGCCACTGAAATGTATCTGCCATTCAGTCGACTGAATGATAACTGAAAGATCACGGAAAAGTCACGGGAAAGGATCTTTTCAGTGACCTTTCACAGCGACCATTCAGTTACCATTCTGTTGAATGATTGGTGTAATTTCACCTTGTACTAAAAGTCAATAGATAGTTTACGATAGACGCAATTTTAGCACGAGTTATTTCCCATTTTCCGTTATATTGGAGGTCAACATGTCCAGATTCCTTCATTATTCAACCAATTTAAAATAGTCACAATGGACATTCAGTTGTATAACACTATTTTTCTGACTAATATACGTTTGTTAAGCTTCCTTTAATTCAGAATTTAAATACTTAAAGATTTTTTCCTCCATTTTTGCCATACATCTTTAAAATTGGTTGCTCAAAGAGGAAAATTCATCGGTTTGACGTCCAAGATGGCAGCCAAGGGGAATAACTCGAAGGGAAAATACGTCATTCGAAAACTATCTATCTAATAGAATTTTTTTGGAGTCAAAGAAATTCATGACCAAACTTTCAATTGCAAAAGATTACAGAAAAACTAAAATAATCATCTGAAAACTATATTTGAAATATATGTTACTTGACCTTAAAATGAAAATGTGTTTTTAAGTCTTTTAAAGATATAATAGTTTGGATACAGATTAGCAGACAGAATGTATGAATTTATGACCTTCACCTCTGACTTTTTGACCTCAAAATCAACTGAGATCTTCTTTGGGCCATAAAAATTTTATTTAAGGAAGCTCAAAGAAAACTAAAGGTTTCATCTGTAAAAATTTATTTGCAATGTATGAATTTATGACCTTTGACCTTTTGGCCTTAAAATCAAAAGGGGTCTTCTTAAGGCCATAAGGAGTTGTGATATATAATTTCACTGGAAACGCTCAGAGACTTTTCAAGATATCGTCCGGAAACAAAAGTGTTACCCATAAATAGAATGTATGAATTTTGACCTTAACCTTTGACCTTTTGGCTTCAATATCATTGGGAATCTTCTTTAGGCCATAGGGACTGTTGTTGTTAACCGCAAAAGCATTTTGAGATATCGTCTGGAAACGAAAGTTTTACACACAAACAGAAAAGGCAGCTGCCTATGATGTCAAAAAGCCTGGACATTAATTTAACTGGACTTTAATTTAATTTGATTTAAATTTTGATGCACCAGATGCGCATTTCGACAAATTATGTCTATTCAGTGATGCTCAAGCAGAAACGTTGGAAATCCAAAATATTTAAATTAAACAGACTTGGAGGAGCTGAAAAAAGATGCCAAAGACTGGAGCCAAATACCTCGAAAGATCAGAGCTAAGCATGAGGGATATAATCCTTAATTTTGAAAAAAAAAGTTCTAAAATTTACCACAGCAATGAAATATACATCCGTATTTTCAAGCTAGTACCGAAGTACTAGGTTACTGGGCTGTAGAGACCCTCGAAAACTAACAATCCACAGAAATGATTTAATTGAAACATGACAACATAATTCAACATTATTCAACATTCATATCTAGATTCTCAATCTAAATATATTTTTTCTATAAGTAAAGTCAAGGAAGTACGAGGGGTGTTGAATATTTTTTGTCCCTTATGGTTTTCAATATAAATTAGTACAGTCGATTCGGGATTTGGTCATCCCTGAAAGAATATATCTTTTATTGATGTAGTGTCAAAATTTGGAACAAGTCCGTGCACTCTGAAACACACACTTACAATTGCAAATGACCTACCCAAATACACTGGACATCAAGTATGGAGTCAATTAAAATTAGAAGGTATATTCTTGCTCGATGTACCCTTGGTATAGAATGAAATGAAATATATGAAGGATTTGTTCGGATATATGGTGGGTCTGTTATTTAAAAAAAGGCAGTTTACAGATGGGTTAGCAAGTTTAAGGAAGCGATTGCATAGCGTCACGTGATCGACTCTTGTGATGTTTAAAAAAAAGAAGATTTACGGTAACCATTTCCGGAATAAGGAACGTGATCATGATTACGCCCATGACAAAAGGTCTTCGTGGCAATATTTTTAAAACGGAGAAAGAATAACATAGGCCCTAAAGATGTGATGTTGCAGAGTGTTGGTGAGCCTCGACGCAGATTTTTTTTTTCTATGTGTTTTTTTCGTTTTGACACGTCTAGCCTTTGTCGTAGTTCTGAACGCTGTAATCTATTTCATAATAAATTTAATTCATACCTGGATCCTTACGTCCTCTAGTTTACATTTATAAACGAATGCGATTTTCATATTTACGTGTATAGACCAGTTTCAGGTTGCATGCTGGACATGAACGTATTTTTAAAAAATATCGCAGAGGAAATTGTTTTCCTATGTAAGATCTTCTCTAGCATTTTCAACGCTTACATCGACCATGTACATTGTAAACATTGAATCATCGGCACATATATTGCGTGAACATTTGTTGTAGTAAATTGTTTTATGCGTCGTATTTGGTAAAAAAAAAATGGAAACTCAACACACTTCTTCTGAAAAGAAAAGAAAGGTTTCTTTTTGCAAGTTTTCACAAATCTAGCAAAAAATACGCATGTAAGAATGACAGACGAAATTAATAGAGGTTAACTCTGACAATCGACGAACTAAATATTCGCAAATGTAAATATTACGTAGCAAATCAGTAAAATTTGTCAAATAAGAAATAGCTAGGATTTATTTTATATACGGTATAGATTGCAGATACAAGTTCTCTGAAATAATCTACTCATTCAATGTGTTCAAGTGACTACCCCCCCCCCCTCCCTTTCCGATTCCAAGTCACAGTGCAGAGACCTCGATGAGTGTTCAGAGCATGAACAATTTGGCCCTTGGACCACTGTGCACTGGTTTAGAACGTATATATTTATATTGAAATAATAACGGAATGAATATTTTGGAGATGAAAAAAAAAATGTGCATGTTGTTTTTTGTGTACATGATACTTATATCATTCTGCTATCATTCTGCTCTACGTATAAAATGAGCAACAACCACAAGGTTTTCAGAAAAAAAAATGTTTTATTAATCTGTACGTTTTTTTTTTTATATAGTCTTTTAACAGTTTATGCACTTTAAAGGTTCAGCAACAAACCATCAGATTAAAATTTATGAAGTCTTTTAATATTTTAGGAAGGGGGGGGGGGTATTGAAATGCATGTAGCTTAAAAAAGAATGTGAAGACCCCACTTCATATTTTAACCATAAGTCACTTATAATAATTGTTACAAAATATATCAATTTTAGGAAAATTCATTGGGCAATTTTTTGTCAAGACGTTGAAAACTGCTCTTGGGGTGAAAATATTACTGCAAATTTACAATGACTACTCCCCAAAGCAACTGTGGCATTACTATATCTGTCAATAGTTTCCGATACAATTTTTATTTTCAATGAATATAAAGCATAATATTTAATATCTGGTGAAAATTATTTAATTTGTTTCAATTTTGATACCTGTATGGAATACTTAAAATTTCACTACATAAATAGCAGAAAAACGGTGGTTACCATGGCAACCATATCTTCTTTATAACCCTGATGACCATGGTTGACATTTTCATATTATGATACCATTAACGTAAGGCAAATTATATGTAAAAATGAGAAAAAATCATAGAGCGGATTTTTTTCATGGTCCCTTGCAATCTCTTCCTTAAGTGTGGTAGAACACGTGTTTCCGACGACAAACATTCAGGAAGACCTCCAAGAGCAGTCACCAAAAGTAATGTAATGTTTCCAAAATCCGTGATATTCTTAAGAAAGATACATGAATTACCGTCAAAGAAATAGAAAGATGTGTAGGAATTTCAACGGGTAGTGTTTTTACTATTTTGAAATCTAAATCAAAGTACCGTAAAATCTGTGCAAGGTGGATTCCACATGTACTTACCAAAGCTCAGAAAAGAGATCGTTTACAAAAGTGCCAAAAACTTTTGAAAATGTTTAAAGATATGGGCAAAAGGAAGCTTAATCAGATCGTCACAGGTGACAAAACGTGGTTCCACTTTTTCTTGCCAGAAAGGAAAGTAAAAAATCAAGTCTGGATTGCAAAGAATATGAAGAGGCCAACAATTGCAAGAAGAACTCAGACTTCCAAGAAAGCTCTATACGCAATATTTTTTAACTCTAATGGATTAGTAGTTCAATATGCAGTCCCATAGGGCAAAAGTGTCACTGGAAATATGTATTCTTCTTGTATACTTCCGAGACTTTATAAATTTTACAAAAAAAGACGACCAAAAAACCAGCTTGAGAGGCATTAAACCTCTGCATGACAATGCTCCTTCCCATAAAGCAAAAGTGACACAGGACTATCTACAACATGACAAAGTTCTTGAACCTCCACATCCTGCATATTCACCTGATCTTTCTCCTTGTGTCTTTTTTTTATTTCCAAAACTAAAGGAAGCTCTATCTGGAAGGTGTTTTCAATCGAGGTCAACCCTGGGCTCAGCTATTTTTCAGTATATAAGGAGTATACCACAGAAAACTTATAAAAAGTGTTTTGACTGGATTAAACGACTTCATCTCTGTATAAGATGTAAGAAAGATTACTTTGAAGGAATGCAATTAAAAATTTGAATCTCCATTTTGTTTTTTTTTTTTAGCTGTAATATCGTTTGGAAAAATAATATTGAACGCCCCTCGTATGTGTGCATCCTTGTATGCATCAATTCAAAGGAAAAAAATAAATATTTTTATTTAAATATTTCTATATATAGTGCCCTTTTTCATAAACTCAGTGTATTCATTAGAAAGAGATAAACTGTTTTCAAGCATCTTTTGGGGAAAAGCTTAATTTTCTTTTAATTGAATTTGTTTTTATATGAAGAATCTTGATACACCCGGAAACTTAATCACAGTGACATCCGTTGAACTTTTTTTTATTTTGTTTTCCCTGATCAGTGGTAAATCTGCACTCTTCACTCCTCAAAGCCAAAACACGAAAGAAAAATGGCAGCAAACTTCTGTTATTCTACGGATCTTACAAACTTGACACTAAAACTTTCTAAAACTCAGACACCCATCAACGCAGCTTCTATGTTCACTGCCGGAATAGTAGGGAATGTTTTGGCTTTATTTATACTCATCCGGCATGCCAAGCAACATAAATGGGGTATATTCTATAGACTTGTTGCGGCATTGGCCTCTACAGATGTGTTTGGAATAGTGACCACAGGTCCAGTTGCTTTTGCTGTGTACAACAACAATTTCAAATGGGTAGGAGGTCAACCATTGTGTGATTACCTATCGTTTATGCTCATCTTCTCTGGTGTTGCTACTTTAGGCATAATGACTTCTATGTCATTAGACAGATATTTAGCGCTATGGTATCCATATTTCTACAACTCCTTGCAGAAAAAGAGACGAATTCATGTAATGCTTGTTGGAATTTGGCTTTTTGCTGCATTCATTGCGTCTTTGCCATTGATGAAATTTGGACGTAACATTCGTCACTTTCCCTGCACCTGGTGTCTCTTCGATTACTTTGGAACTTACCCAACTGACAAAGCATTTTCAATAATGTTTGCTTTGTTAGGTATATTAAGCATTCTATCGTCTTCAACTTTTAATTGTTTGGTCATATTTGCTGTTTGTAAAGGAGCGTCAGGTGGTCGTCGAGGAAGCGTGAAAAGCACCAGGGGAAAAGAGCGCCAGAGGAGGAGCGAGATCTACATACTGATTTTTTTATTCGCTATCTTGATTTCACACGCTATTTGCTGGATACCCTTAATGGTAAGAAAATATTTCCTTTCTCAAAGACTGATTAAATTCTAGAGAAGTATGGAATTATTTTCAATTTCTCTTAGAATATTAGTAATGTAAATCATTATCTTTTCAGGATTTTTTATTTTCGAGAGATCGCTTTTTTGATTTTTTTTTAGCGAGACAACATTTTCGCGAGGTGTGATTCTTGTTGTCTATTAACATTAGCAAAGCAAAGTAACACGAGACTGCAATTGTCGCAAGCAGAGAGACACGCGTTATTACGCGAAAATAAAGTTCTCGCGAAAAAAATGTTATATACATGACTTTTTTTCAAATTTCTCCAAGGAGTTTAACCACAGTTCAATCTAACATGTGGTAAAGTCCTCTGTGCAAATATACAATAGAATTATCATGTTTAAAGGTGTTTATTACAAATACAAGCAATTTATTTGATTAAGTATTTATTGTTCTACAGAAAGACAAAGAAATTTGATATCTAACATGTTTTTCTTTATATACTTCAAATACTTCATTTTTATTTTCTTTCAGATACGTATTCTTCTTAACACATCGGGAGCCACACCAACAGATCGGCAGGCCGATATTTTAGCATTCAGATTGGCTGCATTAAACCAAATTCTTGATCCTTGGCTTTACATTCTTCTAAGGAAGGAAGTATTAGCCAGGGTTTACAGATTTTACCGAAAGAAGAGATATGGTGAGAGACTTGACTCTGCAAAGGAAAGTACAACCGGAAACAGTACAGAGGAGACTTCGGGAAGTGTCCGAGGTAATATCCGTCTTCAACAGCTGAATCCTAAGGATAAAAAAATTCTAAAGAAAATGAACTCAGCAGATTCTAACATAACATATGTACCCACAGTAAGCGGAAAATGAGTATAACTCGTGTTTCAGATTGGTCTTCTAGTGTTTCATTTCAACATACATGGTTTGTAAACTACTGATTTGATTGGACTTAGTGAAAAAATGTGTCATTTAGAATTCACCAATTTATGATCCTACTATTTACCTGCTAAAATTTGAAATAAACTTTTATACACGGATAGAAGTTCATTAGTTTTGTATATCGCATAGATGCCCTCGGTCTTTTTGTTATGCTAAAAGACAATAATTAACAACTGCAAAATTAAAGAAAAATCGAATTGATCGTTTCTTGCTTTAAAACGAAAATAAAAACATGACATATAGTGCAGAGAACATCGAAAAGATTAATCACAATCTGTATTTGTCTTCCACTGCTGCGACAGAGCGTCATTCAGTTGAAAACAATAAAAAAAATTAAATATTGGCAGTATGTCAGCTATTCTCTGGCTGGCGAAAAATAAATAAAGATGAAGATATTGTCTATGCCAGGATAGAATGTTGCACTAATCTTGTACTAATTTTGGCAGGGTTTTGACAATTAGCATACACATCTTTATGAGCTCATGATACTGTACTTTGAAACTGTAACAGATATATTACCGCACAGACTTGTATTTAAATAAATGAAAATGCATCGGGATTGGTATTTCACAATGGATCGTGTAGACTGCAATTATAGTTAATCTCTTTTGGATGATTGTTGGAAAACGCGTAGTAAAAAAATGAAAGATTATTATTTCTAATAATTTCAATTTGATTGTCAGATTATATCGCAGTCTTATACTATCCATGGCCGATGCATTTTTTTTTCTTTGCAGGCTAATGCATGAACTATCATACTAGTGGTAAATAAATAGCTGACCACACTTCGATTTATTTACATCTTTATTGAAGCTACAAAGCAGGCGACGCGTAGAACAATACAATTAATTTTAATGTTTTACAAACCTGTACACAGGGACACCATACAAACACCATACTGACTACCCTACCAAGCTCTTCTATGACCAAATGCCGCATGTGGTGTCAGTTTTTTTCTGAGTTTTTTTTTTTTTTATTTTTGCAAACAAAAAGAACATAAACACATAAAAAAGTAGAAAATTATTCCTCCAAAAAGCACTAGCAAAATTTTCATGCATTTCTAGTAAATGATTATTCTTTAGTTAATATTGTATTAGATAATCAGTCTGGCCTTTAAATGTTTTATTTCTAACAATTGTAACGTATTTATACATCAAATACATCATTAACAATTTTTGGAATAGTAAATACTAATTTTCAATGGAGGTGCATAAGCCATTACTTTTGTCTAGTTTATAGTCGAGAACGACCTACATTTAACAAGTACAGTGAAACTTGTCTAATCCGGATGTTGTATAATCCATAATCTTGTCTAATACGATGTAAATTTTTAAGTCCTTTTCAGTAAATAACTTTGTTTAAAATGTTGTCTTATCCGGAATGTTGTCTAATCCGGCAAACTTTTTCGGAACCTATGGTGTCCAGATTAGACAAGTTTTATAGAGTAACACCATATAGCCGAGCACCATCTAGCAAGATACAGCAGAGCACCACCTAGCAAGTATAGCGTAACAAAACACAGCCGAGCACCAGCTAGCAAGTATAGCGTATCAATATACAGCCGAGCACCACTTAGTAAGTATAGAGTAACAAAATACATGTACAGCCGAGCACCACCTAGTAAGTATAGAGTAACAAAATACATGTACAGCCGATCACCACCTAGTAAGTATAGAGTAACAATTTACATGTACAGCCGAGCACCACTTAGTAAGTATAGAGTAACAAAATACATGTACAGCCGAGCACCACTTAGTAAGTATAGAGTAACAAAATACATGTACAGTCGAGCACCACCTAGAGTTATGATTTAAGGCCGAGCACCACCTAGAAAGTATAAAGTAAACATTGTCATACACCGGAAAAATGCTTAGGACTATGCCTTTGATTTACTTCTCCCAAGCATATTGCATTGTGACAATTAAGGAAAAAAAAACAAAACCGCTCATTCATTTAAAATAATAATTAAAGTGTCATCTGATCAGATCTATTTATGCAGGTATACAATAAAAACGCCACCTGTCATTATTCTTCTGTAACATTCTGTCTCTTGTGTTTTTGGTAAGCATAAATAATCCCAGTGAGTTATTAGCTATGAAGATATTTGGGGAATGTTAAATGTTTGTAATGAATTGAAATCCAAAAACTAAAGTAAGTTTTACTTGACTAGTTCTGTGGTACTTTGAACTTTACACTAAAGACTGAAAATAAGAAGAGTAGAACCACACAGAACTAGAGTACTAAAACAGAATGTTGTAACATAATGTAGACTTGATCTGCTCTATGATTACTTTCAAATGCAATCCAAATGTACATGGAAACACTAAGTTTAACTTAGCTTTCTTGGTCATTTTTTCCTCATGGCACAAACGCGATTCGCAATTTTTTGATGTTCAATAAATGTTTTATCATTCATTATGATGGACTTTTTTTTAAATGTACTTCCATCCAGCATAGAAAGGGAAAACTGGATTTAAAATATATATGTGTTCATTTTATTAAATGAATGTTTCTATCATTTACATTAAACCTCGGACAGGAAAAAATAAATGACGATAAAAAGATTAAATATGAATCCCAGAATAACATTATTTTTATCTAGTTTGTTCCTGCTTTATCACCAGGAAAAAGGAAACAGCAAATGTTTTCAGCTGCCGCGTCAGTAACAAGTAACAAGGAAACATCAGTTGCCAGAATGTAGGCTAGTTGTCAGTCCTTTGAGTGACTGGCCATCCTTGCAATTCTTTATCATAAATCATTCTGTGTTATATTTATTTATTTATTTATATTTTATTTTTACCGAACTTTAAGATGTAAAGTTGAACAAGTACTACATTATTTTCTTCGAACTTACATTACAAACAATGAAACTGTGTTTTTCTTATTCTCTGTACATTTACCTTTTTTCTTTCTTAAAAAATTACAATTTCTACCTGTGTAACATCTCTTATTCGGATCAGATGTTATTAACCGAGACCTGTCATTCGGATCAGTCCTTATAAACCGAGACCTCTCATTCGGATCAGACCTTATAAACCAAGACCTTATTAAGGTATTCAATGTATAACGACCATTTTTTGTACCTAATAAATGAATGGTCCGATTTTAAAATCATGGTAGTATTTTAAAGATGTTATGAAACAAAAATACTCCATCAAAGGAATTTACCAAATTTTAATTATTGTACAATTAATTGTACCTTGAAGTTTAAACATTGAAGTCTATGGGCAACGCATGTGTTATTAAGATATTGTAAAAAGTAATTTGAATTTCATACAAATCTCTTGGTGAATATATGCATAAACTCTCTCTTTATCATAATATGAAATAAAATGAATCATTCACCATAGATATTTTGAAAAAATTAAATTTTTCTTCTTTTCATCAAGGGCAGATAACTCTTCAAAAACTTTTCAGGTGCAAAATGACTAGCTTCTTACATGTTATCTGTCATGAGAATTTGGTTCATTTCACTTTCATTGTTATCTAGCAATGCATTTTTAACTAGTTTCAGATGATTCAAAATTGTTCAAAATCCCTTCATTATACATTGAATACCTTAAGCTAGGTACCGCAGTAGATGATGGCACGACATATTCCTCTATTTTAAAAATCATAAGTTCGGAATACAGATCTAAATTTTCAGCTTTTCACTGGAAATTAATGGCCTCCCAACATGAGTAAATTATTCTCGGAGGATGTAAAGCAAGGAAACAAACGAACAAAAACTATGTAGCAATCAATTTACGTTCTATATGAGAACATACTGTTTTCTCATGTGGATCTGCCCTGTTACAAATAGCTTCCGAATTATGACTGATCTATCATATTTGTGTGAATCATGCATCACTTATCTCAGAGTTCAAGGTCATTTGGCAATGAGATATCTGTTTCATATGGCTGTTACTGTCTATTTACTGATTATGCGAGATTAACAGCAAACTTAATGGCAAACGGGATGACTTAAGCATCTATAACATAATTTCTCCGATTAAAGCAGAATCCTCCAATATCACCTGTATGTGGTGTTTACAGGTATTACACACGTATAATATCATAATGTGACCAAAGTAAAAAAAATCCTCATTCTAATTGTAATCTCATTTTAATCTGATGTAGGCTTCTGACAAATAAGTTGATATTACAAGGCTTTTAACAATCTCGTTAAAGCCAGCATTTCGAAAAGTCTATGGCTGCGGTAATGATGATGTTTGCAAATACAAGCTAACATTAGGCTGTACTTTGACTGACACGTCCCACACAAATTTTTAGATAGATGTTTTTATACTAATTCTGAATAGATTACTCGATTTACCTGATTAATATAGAAGGCTATAGCTGCTTGACCGGTCGACGGGAGTGTTTATTAGGTACCTAATCTTACTTCTTGTGTTTACCTTGACATTGGTCATCTGCAAAATCATTTTGTTAAAAAAATTCTGATTCTCCTTAAAAGTACTCCGAGTTGATTTTAAAAAAATGTTTGATTTTTTCATTAACAATATCTTTCAATTTTTGGAGACCAGCTTTTTTAACAATGTGTTGAAATTCACCAGGTTTGCTAACAATCTGTTGGAAATCACATGGGAATTTTTGTATCCCGTTATTAGGAGACCTGTTTTTATATTCTTTAGAAGCAGACTTTTTTCAAAACTTTTACACGAGAAGGAGTCTCTTAGTGTAGCCTTTAATTAGACAATTAGATATATCGACGACGTTTATATATTAACAATATTCATTTTCATTTCCGTGTTGATTCGATATATCCCATTGAATTCGAAATAAAAGGCACCACAGAGTTGACACATCTTTTTCATATTTGGATGTTTTACTACAGGAAGACATTGATAAAAAACTAACAACTTAACTTTATAATAAAAATGATGACTTCAACTTTGCCTCCATGATGCAACTTCCCTAATTTATGTAGCAATATACCATAATCACGTGCATATGGGGTTTATGTCTCCCAGTTGCTTCGATACGTTAGAGTATGTTCTACGTACGAATGATTTCTAAAACGATCCAAGCAATCGATAAATAAATTGATGATACATGGATCTCAAGTATCTTATTATCTTTCTTTGCAA